AAGTTAACCTGAAACCATTGTTTTAAGATAAATTATCTAAGACAGAGGGTAAGTTAACCTGAAACCATTGTTTTAAGATAAATTATCTAAGACAGAGGGTAAGTTAACCTGAAACCATTGTTTTAAAATAAATTATCTAAGACAGATAGATAAGTTAGCCTGAAACCATTCACAAGGCTTTAATGTCAAAAATAAATTATCCTCCAAAACATAGCAGGCAAAATAGGTTAGTGTTAGCCAAGAAATACAAGAACACAAAAAAAAATTAAATGACATACTTAAATACTGACATAAAATTGAAGGAAGTATACAAGTGTACTACATTTGTATATTAGGCTCAAACTATGAAAATACTGTTCCAAACATTTAGTTTCTTGAGTTGTAATGTCTTCTTTCTTTCATTCCTGTGAATATCCTTGTCATGATACAAGACTGTTTAGTTTAGATATTATTGATTAATTTATTTTGTAAGTGAATATTTTATGATTGTTTAGTTTTTGGTTATAATAAGAGTTAAAAGCAGAAGATTGTTGGAAGTTGCGTTTATAATTCATTGATATTAAGACTATCGAATGTCGTGTGCAGTACATTGACACAAAGAATATAGAGATTTATAGAAGGTAGGCAAACGATTAAGTGATAAACATATAAACAGTGTGAGACAAGCAGAAATAGCAAACAGACAATAACAGAAGAGAGTAAAGTTACAGGCAAGGAAAAGTTTGTCGTGAAGTTAACCAGTGTAGAAGTGATAGGCCTAATGATTAACACAGGCCTAATGTTTAAGATGTTAGAATGAAACAAACATTATAAAAAAAATATAAACAGTGTGAGACAAGCAGAAATAGCAAACAGACAATAGCAGAAGAGAGTAAAGTTACAGGCAAGGAAAAGTTTGTCGTGAAGTCAACTAGTGTAGAAGTGATAGGCCTAATGTTTAAGATGTTAGAATGAAACAAACATTATATATAAAAAAAAGAATGATAATTTTATTCCGTCAAAATGTGGTTCTAAAGTAATTGAATCAGACTAAGTGCACTTTGACAAAAGGAACAGAGGATATGTAGAAGAAAGAAGACCAAACTAATCACGGTAACTTGCACCACAAGTGTAAGTGAATAACACACAGAAGACTAGTAGTAGTATGAGAGTAGTATAGAGAAGATAGTTCGACTTGTCAACTGAAATTCTAAAGTAATTGAATAGTCCGAAGAAGACTTTTGACAAGAAGAAGAGAACTATATATAAATAGTGTTTATGATATACCTGTAATCTCTATAGTGTGAAGACTTCATTGTACATACGTTTAACTTGTTCCAAATGTATATATATTCATTATCTGAAAACAAGTAAAGTGTGTGCTGTTTATTCATCGTTGAATTTATCGCTAACAAGTCACAGACACCTACTGTAGAAGAATCCTAAGCCTAACGACACAGTATATATTTATACCATTAAGAAGTATAACTAAAGGACTTTTTATTTTGACAATTGGCAAAAAGAATTATATTCCATCAATCTCCCTTACAACATCTAAATTCCTAACAAAACTCCACTAGGCCAGGTATAATAAGCCAGGCTTTTAAACTAATCCACTCAGTGGACACTAATTGTACTGTTTGATGTAATTCAGACTTGATGCTAATGAATGACTGGTTTAAATCTCTCATTACATCATCAATACCTCAAGTCAGTATTTTCCAAACTTTAAATAGAGGCATCCCCCTTAACTCGGCAAAGTTTCTGTTGTACCCACTCTGCCCCAACATTAAAATATTTTTCGCAATGATAACAGCGAAATCAACATTTTCTTTGCCTTTTTAAGTTATATTTTTAAACGAAAAATTCTTGTTAGGAGCAAGTAAATGTGAGAGAAGAAAAAAATGCTTCGAGAGCAAAGTGATAGTTTTGTTAGGTTATCGTTTCCAATTCTTCTGTTTCTTCAATCGTTATTTTTGGGCTCTCTTTCCAAAATACCATGTCCCCTCAGCCACATGTACACATGCCCCCAGCGGGGGTGCACCCCACAGTTTGGAAAGAGCTGCTTCAAATGCTAACAAAAATCACACCAATGTGTTTCAATTTTCATACACCTGCTGTCTCAGTGCTTATGACAATGTAACTACTAAGTTCATAGTAATGTAAACTTTTATAAAACTTTAGAAACGTAATAGTAATACTGATTAAGTTGTTAACACTATTCTGCGTCCGTTGGCAGTGGTACGGGCAAACACTTTAGTTTAGAGGAGAAAAGAAAATTTTATGTTTGTACCGTTGTCAAAGGAACAAGTTTTATGTATGTTGTTACTGTTAGTACAGATTACAGTACAACACTACCCGGTGTCATTAAGCCTAACATTGTAGTTAGCCGAGTGAAGCAACTACTAAAAATTAAAATACATTTTTTTGGATATTATAACTTGTGCTATTATTGATCAATCTTAACTTCAAAAATTATAACAAAAACAAATAAATCTTACGCTATTTGGTGGATATCGCACTCACAACATATTCAAAGTTACAATAGTTTAGCCTCGTTTAACGCCATTATCAACGTCAATTCACTTTCACAACAACCGCAACTAGTCTGTATACAAAAAAATGACCAATGAGAAGTTTCCTAAGTGGCCCATAGCGACAAGCTAACGGGTAAATATTGTACAATGGCTCACAAAACTATTTAAACAGTATACACACAACACAAAATAATATTCCAAGCGTGAAAGTCACACAATTGACCTTAATCTTACGCTTAAGTGTTAAGATATCATGCAAAGCAAGAGAATTGAAATTCTCATTTTGCGAAAGTAGTCAATCACACTGGAGCCAGAAATGGTCATTTTCATTCACACAGTTCCTAAATCATTAGACATTTTAGAGCCAGAATGACCATCCGTCCATGTACTTCCTGGGTCATCAAGGATCTCTATTTTTGTTTTACGAGAGAGCATGCTACCTAAACCCTTTACATGACCTCACACTTTCAAGATCACATATACATTTTCACTCTAAACATTTTAATATCTTTGCACATGGCATCATTTACCTATACGGGACAAGCGACAATAATGATTTGTAATAATTCATAATGAGTTAGTACAGTCAACGTATTAAAACTAATAACAAGACACCTATAGCTTGTACAGTGTTACGTAGACAGCTGTACTACTAATGTTATTTTCACATATATATATATACCCAGTTAAATATTTACAAGCTACACTCAGCATACGTGGATGACACACGTTTACAATACTTTACACAAACTAGGAACAAAGACCTTGTATAGGATTAAACTCGATGCCACGTGACTGACTGATGACTTATAAAAACATGGGTTAACTTAGACTTAAGAAGATGTTTATTTGTTTGTAATTAAGCACAAAGATACACAATGGGCTATCTGTGCTCTGCCTACCACGAGTATCGAAACCCGGATTCTAGTGTTGTAAGTCCGCAGACATACCGCTGTGCCATTGAGGGGGCTTTGAGGAAGATAAGACAGATCATCAGGTAAGTATTACATAATTTATAGTCGACTAGCATAAAATATCTGCCCTTCACTGGGGGGTCCAAAGGTCCCCTCATGATTCACTGGGGCTCCATTGTACCAAGCAAGCTCCTCTATTATCCCAAGTACTTCTATAGCTACCCCAAAAGGGGGTCCGTACCCTAAAGAAACCCCATCAGAACACCCGCCTGTGCATATGCTGAGTTTAATGGTTTGAATACAGTTTCATAAATGGTACCAGATTTGAGTTCGGTGACTCTTCAAACTTACACCCAATCTTATCTGTTTGATCTTCCGGTTGCGTCTTAGTTACCCCCGCCCCATTCTTCGGGGAGTTATGCCACATAGATAAAGACACCTTCCGGTCCACCTTATGTCCCCCTGTCACATTTGATACGACTAGCTTCAAAACTGTGAGAGAGGTTCACGAATAAACAAAGACATTCAACAATACAAAACGCAATAATGAGTGATTCGTAAATATTATTATTTGCCAACAAATAGTGGTACCTAGATCATCTCGTGAAATAACGAAATGGTCCATTACATATGGCAGATGGTAAATAGGAATGATACAGCAACTTTATTTAAATAGAAATTGTATAAATTCATAAAGCCGAACTGTTATAGCATCAATATTCTTAAAAAAATAAACTTATTTTCTAAATTAAAAAATGAAAATTCAACGTTTTTGTAATTAACATAGGAGATCACATTAAACATTAGGCAGGGATCAAACCTCTGTTTTACCGTTATAAGTTGTCAAGCTTACTGTTGACTGTTGAGCCACTCGGGAATATGGTAAATATCACCATGAAATAAAACGGAGAATAAGGATGGCAAAAGACATTTCTGAAAATGACAGAATCTACTGACAAATAGTAACGGAGAAATATGGCGACGAAGTTAAGAGTTTTTAGATTACTACATTATACCAATTATTAGAATGTTGGACAACATCGCCAAGTACCAAAAAGAGGATTGAAGCAATTGAGGAGTTGTGGTTTTTAAAGTTATATTGGACACACCACAAATGAAGATACTTTGTCAAGGGCAAGTTGCACGAGAAAACTGCAGGCCAACATCAGAAAGAGATAGTTGGAGTTTCTTGAGCACTTTATGTGAAAAGAAGAAATTGAAAGTCTGGTCGTAACTGGGAAGACTGAAAGAAGGAGAGACCATGGAAGACAGGAGTTGACTTATTGATGAACGTATCGACATTGGAAATTCTTAGTGTTTCATGAAGATCTGTGGAAGTCCTGTTTGGATATGGTACCTATACACACACACACATATCTATACACAATAAACTAGATTAAAAGCTGGGAGTTTTAATTTCCTATAAAATCGCTACCAAGAAACGTTTTTATTTCAACTGTTAAAATATTTCACCAAACTTTCATTCCTCGGTTTTAAAGATAAGTTTTCTAATTACACAACCCCACGCCTAAAATACCTTTTGACAAAGTTAATATGATAAATATTCATTAAACTTGGAACTAATCGGTATAAAAACGGAATGTTCCCTAAGAAATATGTGCAGAATGGGAGTAAGACAAACTCGACCAAGAAGGAGAAATGAGATAAATCAGTTTTCCTTTTCAATTTGAAACGTAATTTATTACAAAACAGCAACGAGTATAATGTTAATGTTGTGTTAGTTTTTCTGTGCTCTGTACAAGTGATGGCTAACTTGCTTTACAAAGACCAAGACAACCCAAAACAAAAGCCAATCATCGTTTGTCGGGAAATAACAATTCGAAGCTCATGACGACAGCCAGAATGACACACCACCGGGCTTGTCTTGTTAATAAACAGTGCAAGCAGTGTTCATATCATGACTAGAACAACATATAACTAAAAGGTCATGCAGCACAGTGTTCACCAGGGTCGTCGCTAAACACTGGCACACGAGGTCCGTGCCCAGATTCCCCAATTGGTGTCAACGAAAAAATCAGAATAGAAAACCATGATCGATATCATACTGAATTTTTTAGCGGCGCCTACACTACTGACATAGAAACGTCTGTCAACTGTTA